AAGACTTTATAAAGCATATTAAAAAGGGTTACTGGAAAGGACAATAAACATGTGAAAAGATGCTCAGCATCACCGGTTATTAGGGAAATGCCAACCAAAGCCACAAATTAGATATTTCACTGAACTTATCAGAATGGCTATTATAAAATACACACATACATACACACACAAAACCACACACACACATACACACACACACACACACACAAAACCACACACACACACAAAACCACACACCCACACACACACAAAACCACACACATACACACACACACACAAAATCCCCATCACACACACATACACACACACACACATACAACCCCCCCACACAAAACACACACACACACATACACACACAAAACCACACACACACACACACACACACACACACACACACACACAATCCCCACCACACACATACACACATACACACACACACACACACACACACACACACCACCAACTGAAAGTAGCAATAGTTGGCAAGGATGTAGAGGTACTGGAACCCTGTGCACCACTGGTGGGGATGCAAAATGGTCCAGTTTCCCAAGACATTAAATATAGAATTAACCTATGAGCTAGCAATTCTACTTCTGGGGACTCATCCTAAAAAACTGAAAGCAGGGCCTCAAAGAGATGTCCACATTCAGGGCAGCAGTATTCACAACAGCTAAAAGGTCGGAGCAACGCAGTGTCCACTGCCAAATGGATGGATGAACAAAACATATCCAGACGATGGACTGGTGCTCAGACTTAACTAAAAAGGAGGGAAACTCAGACAAATGCTACAGTATGGACGGACACTATGCTGAGTGAATAAGGCAGTCACAAAAGGACAAATATTGCGTGATTCCACTGATATAAAGTACCTGGAACAGTTGAATTCATAGGACAGAAAGCACGGGGATGACCAGGGCCTGAGTGGGAATTGCTGATCACTGGCACAGAGTTTTACTGAGAAGACGAAGTTCTGAAGATGGACTGTGTTTGCAAAATAACTCGAGTGACCTTAATGCCCACGAATTACACAGTTAAAAATAGTTAAAATGGAAAAAAAAAAATACTGGAAATAGTGAAATTTAAAAATAGTTATAAAACATAGGCCCTGATTGTGTAGTGTTAGGTAGCAATTTCATTTAAAATTAAATTACATTTTGTTGTTGAATTTAAATTACATTTTAATAACTACGAACAGAACAAGCATAACATTTGAAAAGGGCTATAAATACTTACAACTTTCCTGCCTACCTGACCACAGACCTGGGCACTTTGCACACCATCCATGATCCACTTGTACTTTGCTTTGCAATAAGGTGATTTTTAAAATGTACAGCTGCAGGAACTGCCACACACAGATTCAAGTCACCCTCCTCTCCCTCCCCCCAAAATCAGGGTATAGACAGTCCTACCAGAAAACACTGCTCTTTTCTGTCTCTCCCGCTCCCTCCCAGCCCCTGGCAGCCACGGACTAGCTCTCGCACCCTGTGGCGTGTCTGGCTGAGAACATGGCACAAGCGGAGTGAGAGCACAGACTCCTTTGAGATTGGCTTCTTTTGCGAGTGCAGGGCCTTTGCGATTCAGTCAGTGCTGTGTGTAACAGCAGCTGTTCCCTTTTGCTGCTGAACGCTATCCCATCGTCTCCATCTGCTCTAGGTTTCCCGTTCGCCCTCGGAGAACATTGTGTGCTTGCAGTTTCTGACAATTATAACCAGAACTGCCGTAGATGTGTGTGGATGGGTTTGTGTGAACCCACATGTTCATTTCCGTAAGGAAGGTGTGACATCCACCCTGGGAGACTGCTTTGCACCAGTCCTGTGGGAACTCCTTCGTCAGAGGATAAGGCCGGAGTTCAAAGGAAACCTGGACACTGTGAGCCTGGCCTCTCTCTTTTCCCTGTAGCCATTCGCTGGTGCGAGCCAGCCCGTCCTATGATTCTGTCTGAAGAATCGCAGGACAAAAGTCAGTTATTTGTTGGTGGTAACAGGACTCATCGGGACCTCAGAACGTTCCATTCTACAGTCCTCGCCATTTCCGGAAGCTGCAGGGAGAGAGAGCTTTCTGGGTCAGGTCCTGGTGATGTCAACAGGAACTGGTTCTGACAGAGCGGGACAGAGGGAAGCCCTCGCACGGTCCTGGCCCACAGAGGAGGGAGCTGGCTGCAGGCGGCTCTGGCCCACAGCGGGCACAGGCACGCGATGTTGACGAGACCCTTGCAGCCAGGGTTCACCGGGGACACGCACCCAGCCAACCCTGGGTAAGAGGGAGTCTGCTGGGGTGGGGGCGAGGGTGTGTGCTGGGGAAATTTTTCTTTTCTAATGAAAGGGAACTGGTGTAGCTGGGGCTGCCCTTTCTCTCCTCCCTACGGGCTCAATGTTCAGAGCTGTGGTGGCCGTTTCGTGCCCCTGAAGTGACAAACCTGGGCAAAAGCCAGCACCAAGGACCCCAGAGAAGAGACAGACTCCCTAATGGGACCTGAACGGCTGACAGAAGGCCAGCAGCCGCCTCTGAGCGCACGTGAGAAGATAGGAGGGAAATAAACCCCCACATATTTACATCTCTGCGTTTTCCATCACATGTGCACACATTCCGGTTGAAATAACTCTCAAATGAAAATAATCAAATTGCAGAGCAATGTGCATATTCTCATTTGTAAAATTAAAATTTATATATTAATACATAAATAATAGGTATATGTACATTAAAAATTTAGAAGGGTAATGATAGCTAAAAAGTATTGAGCACCTGTTGTGTGCCAGGCACATCTTACACTTTAATCCTCACAACCACTCTATAAGCAGATTTACAAGTGGGGACACCGAGGCTCTATACAACTGGCACCACATGAGGGGGGACTCCGCGCCCGGTCTGCCAGTCCATAGGGAAGTGCCTGTCCCTCCGCAGGCAGACCCGCCGGCCATTACCAGCACCGACTCCCACCAGCTGTCATGGCAGTCATATCTAGGAAGTGGGTTGGGGATGGGCTGGTGATGAGGACTTTTTCTTTATATATTTCTGCAGTGTTTCCTTTGTAACAAGGAAGTATCCTATCTAATAAAAGAGAAACATGCAAATTGACAGTCCCTTTGCTATGCCCACAGCCAATCAGAGCAAGTATGCAAATTAGTCCAAACAAAGATGGCTGTTAATTTGCATAAGCAGGTGTTGAGCAGCCTGGGTCCCGGAAACATCCTCCGGACCCATGCCGCTCCTTGCCTGCAGGCCTGCGCTTAGGACCTGAGCAGCAGGGGTCCCAGAACGCCCCCTGGCCACTTGGAGCCTATGGGTGCAGGCGCCAAGTGGCCTGGCGGGCGGGAACATCTCCGAGTCACTATAGCAGAGATGTTTCTGTCCCGCCCCCAGCGGCTTGCAAAGACTCGCATAGGAAACAAAGCAGCAGTTTGGGTCCACGCCCCCAGCCAGGCGCCCAAGACCGGGGACTAGCTGCTGGCCTCTGTATGTACCGAGACCCTGGCGGCCACCACTGGGTGGCAGAGGCAGGCCCCTAGCCCAATGGACACAACCCAGGGGCTGCATGAGCTGCAGAGGATACACCTTTTTAAAAATGTATATATTATTATTATTATTTTTATTTTATTTATTTATTTATTTTTTTTTTTTTACAGAGAAGAGAGGAGAAGGATAGACAGTCAGAAATATCAATGAGAGAGAAACATCAATTAGTTGTCTCCTGCACACCCCCCACTGGGGATGTGCCTCCAACCAAGGTACATGCCCTTAACAGGAAACAAACCTGGGACCCTTCAGTCTGCAGGCCCACAGTCTATCCAGTGAGTCAAACCAGTTTGAGAGTAAATACCTTTTCTGACAGCTCATTGGCTAAGCTCCCTGTAGGCCGCCACTTGCAGTGTTCTTGGTAATTTGGGTTATAAGAATCCAAGAAGGTGATCTAGGGTTTTTCCACCACACTCCTGGAGGAAAAAATGAAGGTCCCTTGAGGGGTCCCAGATTGGAGAAACTACAGGCTGGGCTGAGGGACAACACCCCCTGACCCCCTTGCATGAATTTTGTGCACCGGGCCTCTAGTCTATATATATAAAAGCCTTAGCAACCAGTCAACCAGCCAACCAGCCAACCCACTGACTGGCCTACCAGCCAGTAGCTATAACATGCACTGACCACCAGGGGGAAGACACTCAATGCAGGAGCTGCCACGTTGTGGTCACTTGACAGCGGCAGTTCTCTGGTGAACCAGAGAGGAAGGAGCCCGATTCCAGGTTGCATCACCCGAGCACCGCCCTCTCACAACCCAGGACCCCTCGGGTGATGCTGGAGAGCTCGTTTCCGCCCGATCCCTGCAGGCCAGGCCGAGGGACCTATCAGTGCACTAATCTGTGCACCAGGCCTCTCGTTTTTGTTTTAACAGTACAAATCTAGAGAAATTGATAAAACAACCCTGGTGCTAGGCACTGTGCTAGGAATATAACCTATGTTTTCCAGGTTTGGATATCTCTTAGGGCTATTCATCCAGTCGTACATGTTTATGGGGTTTGTTTTTTTCTTTTTTCTTTTTTTGGGGGAAATAAAAAACATCCTTCAAACTTACAGGACAGAACCCTGGCTAAGAGGTGCCAGGATTGCCATCACGTTAACATGTCACCTGGACCCCAGATCAGATGTCTGCCCACGTGCCCTCAGGCTGCAGTCCTGGAATCAAAGGGCTCGGTGGGTCTTTCAGTGGCTGGATTTCTCCTCTCCCACCTATTGCTAAATGGCTCTTCTTGGGTCTTTAAAGAGAGCCGCTCACAAGAGAATGTAGGTCCGTGTCCCCGGGTTCCCGGTTCTATTTCCAGCTTGCTGTGGCCTTGGCAGCCTGCAGGGTAGCCACGCCCGGAGAGCTTGCCCAGTGATCGCAACCACGTGGGCTGGAACACTGCTCCTCAGAGGTCCTGCCAGCTCTGCTGCCACGGAGCGACCGCTCTCGGAGACACGCAAGGGTTTCTGCGGGGAAAGGAGGGGGATTTGGAAAAGGACCGGCCACAATGACAGACAGAAGCCCCTTCGAGACGGACATGCTCACCCTCACCCGCTATGTGATGGAGAGGGGCCGCCAGGCGAGAGGGACGGGGGAGCTCACGCAGCTGCTGAACTCCATGCTGACGGCCATCAAGGCCATCTCCTCGGCCGTGCGCAAGGCCGGCCTGGCCAACCTGTGAGTGAGGGAGCCGGTGCGGGAGCCGGTGCGGGCGCAGAGCCCCGGCCTGGGGGCAGGGCCCCGAGGGGTGAGGGCAGGCGGCAGGCCCTTGGCAGGGAATCCGGCCAAAGCGCTTTGCCTGTGTGCCCTGCACGGAAGTTGCCTTCACGTTTCTGTCTCCTTTGTGAAAGGGGACTTTGGCTTTTGTCAAGAAGGGAACAAAATACTCCGAGACGTGCTCTGGAGAAAAAGAAAAAAAAAAAAAAAAAAAAAAAAAAAAAAAAAATATATATATATATATATATATATATATATATATATATATATATATATATATATATAATGTTTCCAGTTGCCATTATAGTGATAGCAAGCTCAGAGACTTGTTACATTAAAACATGTTGAATCACTGTGGCTTCTGTCCTTGCGTTCTCACTGGCACAGAGAAACAGCCAGGGGACTGTGCCCTCTGCAGAGGGGGCGTTTTATTGTCCTGACCTTGGCCAGTTCGTCAGGAGCTAGGAATCAGTTACAGAGTAACCTCTCAGGGCCCGCTCCGTCTCCTTTCTCACACCGAAAGGAGCCCTTTGTCTTTAGAACAACTTTTTAGGGTGCAGCGTTCCACACGTGGTTCTCGTTGGTGCTTTATTCAAGCACAGGATGAGGCCAAGTTCAGGCCACGGGCACTGACCGACACAGCCAGTGTTCAGGGCGAGTCTGTGATAAAAAGAAGCAGTCTTCCTGGGACTTCACTTCTCACAGTCATCCCAGTGAGGTCCTCCCAGGAGCTGAAGGGGCCTGTTATTTATTACTAGAGACCCGGTGCCTGACATTCATGCACTTGGTTGGGGCTGGGTGGGGGGAAGGGTGTCCCTCAGCCCGACCTGTGCCCTTCTGTAGTCCAGGAGCCCTCAGGGGATCTGACTGATGGTGCAGGGAGGAGTGGGCCAGTGGGCCTAAGCCAGCAGCCGGACATCCTTAGTGCCGCTGTGGAGAAGGGAGAGGCTCCCACCACCGCCACTACACTCACCAGCTGTGAGCCTGGCTTCTGATGAGTGGCACTCCCCCTGTGGGAGCGCACTGACCACCAGGGAGCAGCTCCTGCATTGAGCATCTGCCCCCTGGTGGTCAGTGCACATCACAGCGACCCATTGTTCTGCCATTCTGTTGAATTGCATATTACCCTTTTGTTATATAGGATTATTATTACTCTAAAATGAAGAAATAACCAAGTCCCATAATTAAAATTTTATTATTAACAATTTATTTTTTTAGGGACATCTGTAATACTTTCGACATTAACGATAAACTAGATGAAAAAAATAAAATAGCCCTGGCTGGCAGGCTCAGTGGTTAGAGTGTTGGCCTGTGGACTAAAGGGTCGGGTCAGGGATTTGATTCTGTTCAAGAGCACATACCTCGGTTGCAGGTTCAATCCCTAGTCCCAGTCAGGGAGCATGTGGGAGGCAACCATTCAACGTGTCTCTCTCACATCAATGTGTCTCTCTCTGCCACTCCCCCTCCCTTCCACGCTCTCTAAAAATCAATGGGGGGAAATATCCTTGGATGAGGATTAACAAAACAACATGGAAAAAAGAAAGAAAGAAAGAAAGAAAGAAAGAAAGAAAGAAAGAAAGAAAGAAAGAAAAAAAGAAAGAAAGAAAGAAAGGCAATGTAGTGCTTTTAACACAAAAATGTGACAGTATTATATGACAAGTATAATTACCACAGATAATTAGGTAAATACTTGCACAAGATTTTGTGACCCATTAACGGATCTGGGTAAAGACGCTGTATTGTCAGCTTCTCCACACTGTGCATTGCTGCCATTTGGAGGCAATGCTAAGCTCCACACTCAGGGACCCTCACGAATGTGAGTGCAGCCATTTGCCTCTGCCCTGCGCCTGCCAGGCAAGGGGCCCGCTGAGTGACACGAGGCAGTGACTTGCCTCGCCCTGTATGAGGGCCTGGCTTTGCTCGGTGCCTCTCCCGCTGGCATCTAAGGGTTACTCACCCACACCCACTGGGCTCTGCTCTGGCAGGACGCGCCGGGCAGCGGCTGCTGTGGGTGGTCGGATCACTCGGCTGCAGAACTGACTCTCTGGCCGTTGAATGTCAGATCAAGTGGCCTCAGGAATTGGATAATTAAGGTGTTCACCTGACCTGGCTTTTCCTTCCGTGAGTTCGTGGGCACCTCACCTACTCTCGCTGGGACCTCAGTTTCCCCGTTTGTAAAATGGAGAGGATATTTATAGCCCCTCACTTGTAGGGCTGTGGTAAGGGTAAGTCCATGTGAAGATGATGTCGACAAAGCTGACCCTCGATGCTCAGTAAATGCTCTTTATTACCGTAGTTTACAGCCCAGACCCGGGGGAATTTGCCAACGGGTTGGTCGATGCTGCAGACTGACCACTAGGTGGCAGGCGCAGGCCGTGGAGAAGAGGCGTCAGGCTGCCACCTTGGCTGGGGGCTGAGTTTTCCTGGGTCTGCCCGGAGGACTCCACCTTCTGCCCAGGCGGACAGCAGCCTCCCCCTCCTCTGGGACAGCAGCACAGAGCAGTGGGAGCAGTCCGTTGGCCGGAAAGTCCTCCTTTCTAGCAAGATGCTGAGACGATTTGAAGAGGCCCCTGGGATGGCTTCTCAGAGAGCGAACGGGTTGCACTCTGTCCGGAGGAACTCTGATCAGGGGAGGGGGACTCTCCACAGGCTCCTGCCACTTCCCCTTCAGGGGCCTCAAGCCCCTCACCCTTCGCTTCCTCTTTTTGGGGAGACATTTCTAGGCACAGGCTCTAGGCATACAGCTTAAAAGCGGTCAGACATTCTCTTTTTCTTTCCTTTTCCTCCACTCCTCTCCGAAGGAAGAAGGGAATGCTGGAAGGCCTTCCCTGAGAGCATCTCTATGGCTTTTCTTGTCCAACTAGAGGTCCAATGCACGAAGATTCCCGCAAGAATGGGCCTTCCTTCCCCTGGCTGCTGGCACCCCCTTTGCTCCGGCCAGGAGCAGCTGGGGTGGGGAGGGACCTTTGCTTTCCATCCCGACCCTGGCCGCTCAGTGCCTGAGTATGCAAATCAACCCACCACCTTTGTTGGGTTAATTTGCATACTCACTCATGATTGGCTGGTGGGGCATCATGAAGGTGCAGTCAATTTGCATCTTGTTCTTTTATTAATGTAGATGATGATGGGACATCCCACGTAAACATGGTCAGGAAAGTTTTAGGGTTGCTCAGTGGTTCGAGTGCTCTGGGGGCAATGAAGCTCACCCAGGCTCTCACTCGGAGGGGTTGTTGGGCAACTGGTCCTCATTGTGCATGAGCCTCCATCCCTTCTGGAGGCAGGGGTGTGGGTGCAGGGAGACCAGTGCCTGGGGGAGGTGGAGGGGCCTACTGAGGGTGAGTAAGGGTGTGTTCTGTGGGGTGTGTGTGTGTGTGTGGGGAGCTTGCAAGCACAGGGCAGAGAGCCTGTTGTTCATCTCTGCCCACCAGAGACCTGGGGAACCCCCTCTCTTTATTCCCTGCAGCATCCGCCTCAAGAATCCACATTACACCTCGACGCACAATAACCAGCTTTGCTGTTGCTGTTATTTGTTTCTTTGCTTTTATTTTGAACCCAGCTATGGGTATTGTTTTCCAAGGCTCAGCACCTGACATCGCAGCAGACAGCAAATGATGGGGGAGGGCTGCAGGGGAGGGGAATCTATCCATTAGGGAAGAGGGTGGGGAAGGACTTGTCCCCACTGGGCTAAATCCAAGGTTCTTAACCCAGGCTACCTGTTCAACCTCCTGGGAATTTTTTTTTTCCAGCAAATAAATGGTGCTTAAAAGGGAGAGGAAGAGAAATTTCTGTTCTGCATCCTTTATTCACCATTCAGTGAATAGGCATCAAACATCTCCCATGACTCTGAACACGGAGGAAGTAAACACAGGGTTTCAGTGGCAGGTACCCTAGCAGGAAAGACATTCCCATGAGTAGATGGCGAGCTGCTGTGGACCAGGATGGCGGGGGTGTGCCTGGCGTGTGGTGGGAACATGAAGGGGGACAGTGCGGGGAGTGCTCCTGTGGGGCAGTGCCGTGAGCGAAGGTGGAAATGAGAGGAAAGCTTGCCGGGCACTGGGGGCCACAGCACCTGTGCAGCTGTGGGAATGCAGAAGGCGTGAGTGGGTGGTAGCCCTGTGGCTCGTGGAGGGAAGAGCATAGGGGCGGGCAGCAAACCTGGGTTTGGCCATAAGGCAGCTGTGAGTCCAGCGGGGCTGGAGGCTGAGAGTGGCCACGTGAGGCTGAGGCACAGGGACAGTGTCAGTGTGGGGACAGGCATTGCTGGTGGCCTGAGGGGTTCCCCTTCCATGTGAAGACTTGGGAACTCTGAGTGGACCAGTGATCTGAATCATACAGATGGAAGGTCTGAGACCTTTGCATATTAATACTCTAAAACACGAAAATCCTAGGTAGGAGTATAGAGTCGTGCTTTTTCGGATTCGTTTGAAAAGAGATAGTGAAAAACCATATTCAGTTAGTGAAGTCTGTCTCCACATTTCCTTCTTATTCAAGTAAAACCATTTGATAGCAGGGTGGTTTTTAATTCAGCCCAGCAGGCCACTGTTTGAGATAAGTAACAAATATTGAAATTCCAGCCGAAACCGGTTTGGCTCAGTGGTGGAGCGTCGGTCTTTGGACTGAAAGGTCCCAGGTTCGATTCCAGTCCAGGGCATGTACCTTGGTTGCGGGCACATCCCCAATAGGGGGCGTGTGGTCGATGTTTCTCTCTCATCGATATTTCTAGCTCTCTATCTCTCTCCCTTCCTCTCTGTAAATAAATAAATAAATAATAAAAAAATATTTTTTAAAAAAAAAAACACGTTATGATTTATAAAAGATTATTTTAAAAAAAATTCCAGGGCTGGAAAGTCACAGTTCTGTACTTTCTGGATCATTAATTAGACTAATTTTTAGAGGGCTGTCTGACTTTAGAGCTCTAACTCCGCAGCAGCGGGGGCCCAGGGCAGGGCTGGAAGTTAGCAGCACTGGATTCTGGTTAGCGTGTCGGGAGAACAGGGACCGGGACTATAGGTCCTGGAGGTGTGCAGGAAGCAGGTGGAGAGTCCGTGCTCGGGACCTGCCTTCTGGGGCTGTGTTTATCATTTGGAGGCCCCGGAGCCATGAAGGGAAAGGTAGATATACTGGTGGTGTAGCGTCTGGACTTGTTTGTTGGAGTTCAGGATCCTTCAGGGATGTCAATCAACTTTTTTTTTTTTTTTTTTTTTTTTTTGTCTTCTTAGGTATGGGATTGCGGGGAGTGTGAACGTGACAGGGGATGAGGTGAAGAAACTGGATGTGTTGTCCAACTCCCTGGTCATCAACATGCTGCAGTCCTCCTACAGCACCTGCGTGCTGGTCTCAGAAGAGAATAAAGAGGCCATCATCACCGCCAAGGACAAGAGGGTGCGTGCGGAAGGGGTGCAGTTCTGCTCATCACCACTAGGTGGTGATAATGAGTTGAGAAGATTGCTGCCTTGCATTTCTTGTTTCTGCGGTTTTCCTCTATTGCTTAGCTTACTTTGTTTTCCGTAAACGACTGCATATTTCTTTAGTTGAAGTCTTATGTTATCTTGCAAAAAAAAATACTTCGTAGCAGGACAGTGACTCATTCAGAATGTAAATCAGAGTGGTTTACCGGAATGCATGTCAGGGGAAAGCCCCAAAGCCTAACTTCCGGATGGATTCTGAAGAACTGACACAGAACCTCATCCAAATTCCTGAGAGCTCTCATAGGAGAAACTCACAGACAAGGGCAAAGCAGCTGCTCCCAGTGGTTGTGGGACTCGTGTCTGAACTGTTGGATTTATTGTCTCCAGAAGCTGATGAAAGAATTCACAGACAAGGGAGGGGTAGGCAAAGAGAAATAGTTTATTACAGCAAAAATAACAAAGCTCTCAGCATGGGAGGGGGATCCCGAAAAGGGTACCAGAGGAAGCTCACTAGTCTTGAGGTTCATTTTTCTCTCTTGCCCTTTATTGGCTCTTTCAGAAAAACGCCAGCCAATCTCTTTTCGCCCTCATTTCCCACTCTTGGGTTCCGGAGGGGAGGCCAGCTCTACGGTTGACTGGTACATTCCACCTATCTTGCTCACATCCTGACCATCCGGCTCGTTCCCTCCTTAACTACCATCTCCTGTCCCCACAGAGCTTGCCCTAAACTGCCTGATCCCATCTGACTCCAAAGACACCCTCCCAGGACAGGGTCTCTTTCCCATGGGGGTTAATAGAAAACCGTGTGGTGGGTAGTCACATAGACCACTAGAAAGAACAGGGCATTCCCGAGTTTACAGGTAACGTCAGGCGGTTATCCACACTCTGTACATTCGTAAGCCTCCTTCCTGGGGCCTGGCATTCCGGCTTTCTGGGTAGTCAGCCAAACCCGAGGCTACAGAGAGTTAAACAGGCAGAGAGGGCTAAACAGAGGCCCAGCATTTCCCAGAAGCCCTTACTGCTGGAGACATACAGCATCTTTGCAGTGGGGTTCATGGATTTTCATTTAATGTACCCATCGGTGACTAGTACTGGCATTTGGTGGGGGTGGGGGGGGATTGAAAACCATCAAGTTCAGTAAAGAATAGAGTTCCTGGAAAGAGCCTTCTTACTTTTTCCCTTCCCATTTCCAGACACCCCCCCCCCACCACCACCACCACCACTTCCTCAAGGAGGTTATGATTTCAACAGAGGTTTCTTCATTCCTGACACACGGTCAGACTAATACTGACGTCGTAAAGATGGTGGCTCTCTGCAGTAATATAACGGTCAACGTGGTTAGTCAGCACATGGCTGGGAGGGTCCATTTTCACTAGGTCTCATGGACAGTTTATAAAGAGAGAGGTTTGCTGGTGGCCAAAAAATCCAACTATGTTCGGCTGTGATACAGAAATACAAAACACACGCTGGGACTGCTGGCCCTTGGTTTATATGTTGGGTGTTAGGGACAACGTGCCATTTCTTTTTTTTCTTTTCTTTTTTTTTTTTAAAATATGTTTTATTGATATTTTACAGAGAGGAGGAAGGAGAGAGATAGCTAGAAAAGTCAATGAGAGAGAAACATTGACCAGCTGCTTCTTGCACACCCCCTACCGGGGATGTGCCTGCAACGAAGGTACATGCCCTTGACCAGAATTGAACCTGGGACCTTTAAGTCTGCAGACAGATGCTCTACCACTGAGCCAAACCGATTTCGGCATCGTACCATTTCTTTATTATTAGCTGGTAGGACCGAAAAGGTGAAGCCAAATTTATGAAGCGCCTACTGTGTGCCAGGGACTGTGAAAAGCACTTCACTCTTCTGGTCATATGATTTACGTTACATCACACCTATCCTTTCAACTTTCAATTTCACTGATGTGACACTCAGTTCTCTCTCAGCCTCATCTACTGTTTTCTTTCCCAGCTGGCCTGAGGCACTCATGTCTTCATGCTAGTTGCTGAATGCTCCATGCCTCTTTCCATATAAGTTCCTTAAATACTTCCCAACTTATGATAGGTGCCCAACAAATACTAATTGAAACCATGAATGAATGAATGGGCTAAGCTGGATTATTCTCAGGGAGAATGGGAAATTTCCAAGTTTATGAATTATCCCACTTTTTGTGCCCTTTCCCCCTGTTGAGCAAGGGGCAGGGGGAGGAAATAAAGCTCAACTTAAGGGAGGGCATTACCCATTGGAAAGTCATGGAAAAGCCGAAACCGGTTTGGCTCAATGGATAGAGCGTCGGCTTGGGGACTGAAGGGACCCGGGTTCGATTCCGGTCAAGGGCATGTACCTTGGTTGCGGGCATATCCCCGGTAGGGGGTGTGCAAGAGGCAGCTGATCGATGACTCTGTCTCATCGATGTTTCTAGCTCTTTATCTCTCTCCCTTCCTCTCTGTACAAAATCAATATAATATATATATATATAAATATATATATAAATATATATATAAATATATATAGAGAAATATATATTTCTATATATTTCTATATTTATATATATATATAGAAATATATATATATATATATAAAGTTATAGAAAAGTAATCCTAGTGGCAGCAGAAATGATCCCTAACTTACTTCATTTTTTTAAATGATTTTTAAAAAAATTTTATTTGTTGATTTGAGAGAGAGAGAGAGAGTAAAGGGGGGGGGGGGGAGTGAGAACAACATCGATTTGTTGTGCCACTTATTGTGCATTCATTGGATCTTGTATGTGCCCTGACCAGGGATGATATCCACATCCTGGCGTGTATGGATAATACTGTAACCAACTGAGCTACCCAGCCAGGCTCACGTTTTGTGGGGTTTTCCTCCTCCCCTGAGGATATTTCCTCCATTGATCTTTAGACGGAGTGGAAGGGAGGCAGAGGGGGGTAGAGAGAGAGAAACATCCACTTGCGAGAGGCACATCAGTTAGCTGCCTTCCCACACGTGCCCGGACAGGGCTGGAGATTGAACTCCCGGCTGAGATATGTGCCATTGACCAGGAATTGAACCCTCATCCCTCTGTCCACTGAGCAAACCGGCCAGGCAAGGCTCACGTGTCATTACCGAGTTTAACCAGCCAGGGACTCCGCCCTCCTCTCAGGCTTGCATAGGCCCTGCACAGAGGAGCCTGGAAGCAGTATCTGGTGATTCTCCTCGTGCAGTGCTGGCTGGACTGGTTGGGAGAGCAGAGTGGGGGGTGTGAGGGGCTGGAATCATAGACACCTCCCTTCCTACCCCCCTCCCCCGTTCACTGGCCTTCACCGCCGCAGGGGCTGGACGCCGAGGAGAGTCTTTATTCCTGAGGCATCTATGCACACCAGCTCTCTCAGTAAGACCCACAGGGCCTGGGCATTACTTTCTGATTTTTATTTTGGGCAAAAATGTTCCAAAATGAAGAAGAAAAAAAGTGGGGACAGAGTCAGAAAGCATTATCAATAAACCTATAACTAAAAAACAAAATGAAAACAAAAATCTCTTACTGGCCCTACTGTGGCTGTGGGTGGAGTGAGTCCAAGTCCATCTTCAGCTTCCCCGCCTCTTCCCTGCAAGATGCCCTCCTCTCCGGCCTCAGCGGCTCCCGCCCCGGGGCCAGGCAGGAGGGCCCAGGGAGGAGGCTGGGGAGGAGGGCAAGGGAGGAGGCCCGGGGAGGAGGCCGGGGAGGAGGGCAAGGGAGGAGGCCCGGGGAGGAGGCCGGGGAGGAGGCCCGGGGAGGAGGCCGGGGAGGAGGCCCGGGGAGGAGGGCCGGGGAGGAGGCCGGGGAGGAGGCCCAGGGAGGAGGCCGGGGAGGAGGCCCGGGGAGGAGGCCCGGGGAGGAGGCCGGGGAGGAGGCCCGGGGAGGAGGCCGGGGAGGAGGCCCGGGGAGGAGGGCCAGGGCCGGGAAGGAGGGCCAGGGAAGAGGCCCGGGGAGGAGGCCCGGAAGGAGGGCTGGGGAGGAGGGCCCGGGGAGGAGGCCGGGGAGGAGGCCCGGGGAGGAGGGCCAGGGCCGGGAAGGAGGGCCAGGGAAGAGGCCCGGGGAGGAGGCCCGGGGAGGAGGCCCGGGGAGGAGGCCGGGGAGGAGGCCCGGGGAGGAGGCCAGGGAGGAGGCCGGGGAGGAGGCCCGGGGAGGAGGCCGGGGAGGAGGCCCGGGGAGGAGGCCAGGGAGGAGGCCCGGGGAGGAGGGCCGGGGAGGAGGGCCGGGGAGGAGGCCGGGGAGGAGGCCCGGGGAAGAGGGCCAGGGAGGAGGCCCAGGGAGGAGGCCGGGGAGGAGGCCCGGGGAGGAGGGCCAGGGCCGGGAAGGAGGGCCAGGGAAGAGGCCCGGGGAGGAGGGCCAGGGCCGGGAAGGAGGGCCAGGGAAGAGGCCCGGGGAGGAGGCCCGGAAGGAGGGCTGGGGAGGAGGGCCCGGGGAGGAGGCCGGAGAGGAGGCCAGGGAGGAGGCCGGGGAGGAGGCCGGGGAGGAGGCCCGGGGAGGAGGCCGGAGAGGAGGCCGGGGAGGAGGCCCGGGGAGGAGGGTCCGGGGAGGAGGCCGGGGAGGAGGCCGGGGAGGAGGCCCGGGGAGGAGGCCGGGGAGGAGGCCCGGGGAGGAGGGCCCGGGGAGGAGGCCGGGGAGGAGGCCGGGGAGGAGGTCAGGGAGGAGGGCTGGGGAGGAGGGCTGGGGAGGAGGCCCGGGGAGGAGGCCCGGGGAGGAGGCCGGGGAGGAGGCCGGGGAGGAGGCCGGAGAGGAGGCCGGGGAGGAGGCCCGGGGAGGAGGCCGGGGAGGAGGCCCGGTAGGAGGGCCAGAGAGGCAGGGGGATGCTTTTCGGAGGCGGAGGGGCCTCCGTGGCGCTGTGTGACATTAGCAGCTCTGTGGTGGCAGGCCGGCGTGGAGGGCACAGGGCACACAGGCAGGTATGCTCTGCTTTCCTAAGTAATTGATTTTTTTATAAACTACCCCTTTGCCCCATCGCGTGCTGGCGCCGTGTTGTCAGCACAGGCGGCGCTGACCGGCGCCCCCTCTGCCCGCAGGGCAAGTACGTGGTCTGCTTCGACCCCCTGGACGGCTCCTCCAACATCGACTGCCTGGCCTCCATCGGGACCATCTTCGCCATCTACCGGAAGGTGAGCGGCGTCTGGCCTCTGCCTTTCCCCTGGGAGCCCAGAGGCTGCAGGTGTCCCCCCTGCCCCGCGCCGAGCAGAGGCCCGGGGATGGGGGGCCGCTCCGCCCCGTGGCCGCTGGGAACCGGGGACCGTGCCTCGCTCCCGGAGGGCACTGCGACCGCGGGGCAAAGGGAGGGCACAGACCGGCCTTAAAAGCCCAATGAGACCCAGACGCCAGGCCCGGGGCGGCTCCGGGCATGTTTCTCCTCCATGTCCCCAATCAGCGCTCAAACGCCGCTCCGGCGACTCCTGGTCCCGGGCTGGGAGCCTGACAGGTGTGGCTGGTTCTCTGCTGAGCCTCTCCCCTGGCCGAACTCGAACCCGTGCCAGCCTGGCCTCCGACCGGGCTGAGCGGCGGGACTGTGGGGGCAGCTGCGCTTCCAGGCTCACGGCCCTTGGGGGGCCCTGGCTTCTTGGCTGGGATGCGGGCTCCTTCAGTTCCTGGAGGCTTTCTGCAGAGGAGGCTCCTGGCTCCTACCTCAGTCCGCAGAGCCAGCAAGACAGGACCAGCCTTTCTCACTCCTGGGGCCTCTCTGGCACCTTCCCTTTGCCCCATTGCCCTGCCCCCGCTGCAGACATGACTTTGCTTTCAGCAGTCCCTCTGATCAGATGTGGGTCCACGGGAGAGTCCCGGGGAAGCTGCTGTTTAAGTGGGTAAAACGCTCATTCCGTCTGCAAGGCCCCTTTTGCCATGTGACACCGCATGACCCCAGGCTCTGCTCCACAGACCTAACCACAGTGAGATCAGCTGCCTCAGTCTGAGGCCACCAGAAACTGCAGACAACCACATTCTCCGCACGCCTCCTCCTCCTGAGAGTGGGTCCTGCCCCAGTCAGGATGGCTTCGGGGCAGAAGGAGGCACTGGGGGTCTCAAGGTTGCTCATTTGGTAACTTGCCCTGGGACTGCTTTCTGAGGCCCGCTCTCTGGCTGCCCCGTACACACTCCTTCCTCTCCTCTCCCTCCCTCCCATCAAACCAGCGCAGAGCCGGCCAAGGTGCCGTCTGCACACGTGCATGATGCTTGGCTGATGGTTGTCCCAAAAACGGGCAAAGATTTGATTTTCAGGGCAAAAGCTTAGCAGAAAACTAACCATGGCAGAAATATATGAATTAGCCCAACCTTTCTCTCTGAGAAGGAAAGCAAGGCGCAGACCAGTGGTCTCTGCCTCCTGCCGTGGAGGACAGAATGGAAGCCACACCTGCGTGGGCTAGAAGACACCGCTGAGCCGTCGGTGTGCCTCCTTTTGCTTTGAAGAGAGATAAGGAGACTTTCATGAGGGAGGAGAGGACTCCAGACACTTCTCTGGTGTCGGAGAAAGTTAAAAACTAAGATGCTATTTGAGGTTTAAACAGAAACGAGTTAGGTGAGTGAAGGAGCGTCGTTCCCCCTTGGAGGTGCAGCTTACAGATTAAAAATAGAGATCACTGGGGTGATATTTATGAGATTCTGAAAAAGAGCAGGAGTCAGCACAGGGCTCCAGGTGAGTCCGCACCTCAGCCCCGGGGGAGGCACACATACTTCTGCCGGTTTTTTAGAAACTGGTGAACAAATTGAAGTACATAGGAGGTAAGTAACTCAGTTAATATCACCAGGCAGGACAGGGATTCAAACAGGCATCCTAACTTCACCATCACAGTTCTTAATAGCTCCTTCCCCAGTGTTGTCTGCACCAAGAATAGACAAATATGTAAATTGACCCTACTTCTGTGACTCCTGCAGCCAATCAGGAGTGAGTACACAAATTAACCTGACAAAGATGGCAGGCCTGTGTGCAGTGTGCACGCACCCAGTGGCGGGGGGCTGGTGGGATGCCCCCCCGCCCCTCCGCATAGTCGGGGTGATGAGGCAGGCATCCCTGGGAGCCCGCCTGCTTTAAGCCTGTGGCCAGCGTGTGTGCACTGATGCCGAGAGCTGGGGTCCCAGGGACACCACTGGAGTGTCCAGTCCTGTCAGCCTGACCTGGGGGCGGCTGGAGCTTGAAGTCCTTTTGGTTTGTGCAGCCCCTGGACTGGAAGCAGAAACCAAGAGTATGGGGAACAGCAGGAATGCTGGGAATCGTAGTTCTGGTGGTAGATACGTTGTGGGATCTCCTAGAGATTAAAGCCGTGGTCGGCAAACTTCGGCTCACAAGCCACATTTGGCTCTTTGGCCCCTTGAGTGTGGCTCTTCTACAAAATACCATGGCCTGGACGAGTTTATTTTTGAAGAAGTGGTGTTAGAAGAAGTTTAAGTTTTAAAAATTTGTCTCTCAAAAGAAATTTTAATCCTTGTACTGTTGTTATTTGGCTCTGTTGACTAATGAGTTTGCCGACCACTGAACTAGAGCAAAGTGAGCCTGGAGCAAGTTACTGTTGTGGGTGGGAGATGGAGGGAAAGCAAAGGTGAGAGATATAAGTAAAGACACAGTGTCAAGGAAAAACTAAAGGGAAGATACCCTGCAACTTTTAAGAAATCTCCACCAATGAAGCAAAGAAAAAAAAAAAGAATCCTCTATTATTCTGTGGGCACTGAACCAAACTGGGTTGGGGTCTCAGACAATTCGCTCATATGATTGCAAAGACAGACAGAAACTCCCAGATTGGAGAGGGCCCCCTGTGGGCTCCTAGATTGGAGAGGGTGCAGGTCAGGCTGAAGGACCCACACCCAGTGCACGAATCTTTGTGCACCAGGCCCCTAGTTGGAATATAATCGACATGTAACATTGTATTAGTTTTAGGTGTACAACATAATGAGTTAGTATATGTATATACTGTAAAATGATCAACATGATAAGCTTAGTTAGTATCTATCACCTTACATAGTTGCAATGTTTTTTCTTGTGATGAGAATTTTTATGGCATACTCTCTCAGCAATGTTCAAATGTATAATACAGCATTATTAACTGTCAGTTGGTGCATCCAACATTTGCTTTGTCAATTTATCCACTGATGGGCACCTATTTATTTCCATGTATTGGCCTTTGTAATAATGCTGCAATGAACAAGGAGGTGCAGATATATCTTCAATATAGTGATTTCATTTCCTTTAGACATATAACCAAAAGTGGAATTGCTAGATCATATGATAATTCTATTTTTAATTTTGAAGAACCTGTTTCCATAATGGCTGCACCAACTTACTTTCCCATCAACAGTGCACAGGGTTTTTCTTTTCTCCACATCTTCACCAACACTTACCTCTTATCTTTTTATCCATTCTAACAGGTACAAGGTGATATTTTATTGTGATTTTGATTTATATTTCCCTAATAATTGGTGATTTTGACCATCTTTCCATGTACCTGTTAGTCCTTTGTATATCTTTGTGGAAAATGTCTAGCAATTCCTCTGTCCATTTTTTAATCTTATAGTTTGTGTTTTTGCTATTGAGTTATGAGTTCTTTTTATATTTAAAGAGCATTGGACATCAAGGCCATGGGAAATCAATGAAGTGCTTTAAATAGAGAAGTGACATGGATCAGAGTGGGACAAGGATGAAGTGAGAGGACCAGGCAGGGGGTGATGGTCACTCGAACCAATGGGTAGTGGTGAGGGACCAGATGATGGTGCTATTTGCTCATATGGGGAGCAATGGAAGAAGAGTGGGAATTTTGGGGAGTGAGACAGGGCAGATGAACTTCATATTTGATATGTTGAGCTTGAGACACCTGTGGGACCTGAGTAGGAATGTCTGTTGGGCAGGTGGCTCCAAGAGTTAGGCAGTCAGGAGAGATGAAGATGGAGGTATGGGAGGTGTGGACACCTATGTAGGGGTTGGAACTTTGGTTGTGGGTGAGGTGGCTGAGAAGTGTGTAGACGAAGAAGAGAAGAGAGCTTTATTAGTCAGGACTCTGGTGTAAATGGCAGGAACAAATCAGGACACCCCAAGACAGAAAAATGGCCAGCCTCAGTCAGGGCCTGGGCCACAGAAGAGTCAAAGTCTCTCATCTTATCTTCCCATGGCCACTGAACTCTTTCCTCTCACTGCGGGCCAGTTTTTTTTTTTTTTTTTTCTGATTCTTTGGCCAATGACAGAAGAAAGATGGTCACCCCAATGCTCCTAAGTTGCCATCAGCCAGAATGTTCTAGCCCCAGATACAGATTTCTGGAGCAGAAACTCTGGGCCAGTTTGGGGCAGGAATTTATCCCTGGGGAGGGTTTGGGACTCATAGCACAAATATAGTAGCTGAGAATCCCCATTCTGAATAGGGTGAGGTCCATTTTACACTGGGTAGACAATGGGGAGGAACCAGAAGGAAGACGAATATTTAAAAAGAGGAATTGGAAAAAGCAAGGGAGAAGAAACATCTAGAGAGTTAGAAAGAAAGCCAGACGAGAGGGAAGTGGACAGAAGCTCTGGAGAAGGAGCATCTCAAAAAGGAGGAAGCAGCCAACGGATCCAACACTGCCTAGAGGTCAGGTAAGAGGAAGACTGGAACATATGCATCAGATTTACCCTGTTTCCCCTAAAATAAGACAGTGTCTTATATTAATTTTTGCTCCCAAAGATGCTCTAGGTCTTATTTTCAGGGGATGTCTTATTTTTCCATGAAGAAGAATACGGTACACATTTATTGTTAAATGAAAATAAAGGAAATTTGTTACCTGTGTACGGTACAGTAGTACGGTAGTTGTCAACCCAAACCAGACAAACTGTGAATCCTACAGTATCAAGAATTTACTCATTTATTCAATGACAATCATGTCATCATCTTCTAGAACATCATCATAACAATCCAATTCCTGAATTTCCTGGTGAATTTCTTGTGACTCCATTTCTTTCAGAATCAGTGGACCAAATCTCTCATGTTTAGCCTAGGGGGGAGGCCTTATTTTTGGGGGGGTTCCACTCAGAAGGAAACCTGTAAGTAAGTCTTATTTTCGGAGGATGTCTTATTTTTGGGGAAACACAGTAGTAGGTAGCGTCAGCCTGCTGTGGGGACAGGAGAAGGAAGGCACTGTAGACAGACTTCCTGGTCTCCAGGATATTGATGAAGACAGAGTCAGGGCAATAGGAGGGAAGTCTTGTGACCTAGAAAATATTTCTTGTTAGTTTTTCAAGGACAGGGATTCTACAAGTAACTGAAGGCCAGTGGAGCCAGTTGGAGAGGAGGGATTATCTTTAACCCACAGTGCAAGCTTCCAAGGACCAAGGGGAGATTGTGATGCCCTGTGGAGGCAGCGGGCTCACAGTTCAGAGAAAGGAAAACCTGCGCTCTGGGAAAACTGGTTTCATATGAAGAAAATGTGATCTTTTTGATGGATGAGCACAGGTATTTCAAAATCTCCAATGGGGATGACTAAAGATTTTGAATTTAAAAACCTAATACCACCTTTGCCATCTATGTCTCTGAGGAGACCACGCTCTGGAGCCGTGGTTCTGGAATCACCTGGAGGGCTGATGCTGAGGACCCGGCATTTGACTGGAGGCCGGGGACGTGCATGTCCAGTGAGATCCCAAGCGATGCTGATGCTGCTTCCCCTGCTCTGGGGCCTGCCTCTCAGGATCTGTGTGTGGCCTGGGAATCTGCAAACAAAGCCAAGTTGTTAAGCACATACACACAAGGCAAACGAAAACAAAATTGTTTGTAAAATGTGTATTAGAAAGAATGCGAGATTGTAAAAGTAAGGAAAAACATTAAAAGGAATATGCCATTTTTAATTTAATTAACTTGTAGCCCTAGAAAAATATTAAAGGGAAAGTGACATTTTAAAGAAACCCTTACAGAAGATGAGATTTGCTTTTAAAATAAAGTTGTTAGGCTGTTACTAGCGGAGGGCAAGCTGGCCCCATATTTTGTCAGTTGTTTAGAACGATGCTGGCTTAGCTATGGGAGACATGGGTCCAGCCCCGGCCTTATTGATCTCTGTTTCAAGATGTTATGTGAGTACCTTTCTGACCTCCGACCCTTCTCTTTCCAAGAGGGTTGTAGAGCCTCTCCACTGCTTCACAGAAACATGCTGTGAACATATTTTGAAAGATACAGAGTTTCCTGTCAACACAAGTTTTTATTTTACCCTTAAAAGTTATTCCTCAGGAGAGTTAAGAAGCTCACACCTTGGCCAAGGCTCTCTCCGGAGACTATGCACTGTTTCTTCTTCTCTTCTCCAGACCTCAGAGGAGGAGCCTTCGGAAAAGGATGCCCTGCAGCCCGGCAGCAATATCGTGGCCGCGGGCTACGCCCTCTACGGCAGTGCCACCCTGGTGGCTCTTTCCACTGGGCAAGGAGTGGACCTCTTCATGCTTGACCCAGTAAGTACCAACATGGCAGCTTCAGCACGTGGGACTCCATGGGGCTCTGTACTTCCATTCTAGTCACCTGGCATAAGTTCCTGGTCATTCTGAAATAAATTTTTTTTCTTTTTTAATTTTACTTATTTAATTTGTTTGTTTGAGAGAGAAAGAGATTTGTTGTTCCACTTATTCCTTCGTGTGTGCCCTGACTGTGGATGGAACCCACAACCTTAGGGTATTGGAATGACCAACCGAGCCACCCAGCCGGGGCCTAGTCATTATTAATACTTGCTTCTGGAGCCAGAGTCTAGTTTGGGGCACCAGCAGTGTCATAAAAAACTTTAAGGACCTCTGTCCAAGGGAGGGAATGAGAGGGGTTCTGCAGGTTCAGTCCTCTCAACTCAGGCCAGTCCCTTAAAGAATGTATTCCTGCCGAAACCGGTTTGGCTCAATGGATAGAGTGTTGGCCTGTGGACTGAAAGGTCCCAAGTTCGATTCTGGTCAAGGGCATGTACATTGGTTGTGGGCACATCCCCAGTGGGGAGTGTGCAGGAGGCAGCTGACTGATGTTTTTTTTTTTTTTTTTTTTTCTCATCGATGTTTCTGGCTCTCTATCCCTCTCTGTAAAAAAATGAATACAATATATTAACAAATAAAATTATTTTTAAAAAAAAAAGGAAAAAAAAGAATGTATTCCTCTTTGGTTTACAAGAATACAGTGGCTTAAGAATCCCAGGGCTGCCGATTTCCAGACAGAAACATGGGTTCTTTGACGCAGCACCACGCACTGGCATGTGCTTGGTGTCAGCATGCTTTGGGTGGCATGCTGTCTAACATGGGAGCCACTAGCCTCATGTGCCTGGTGTATACCCGCAATGAGGCCAGTGTGACCCAGGAGCTGGGTTTGAAAATTTTACTTCATTTTAATTAATGGAAACAGCCACCGGTGGCTGCTGGCTACCCGATTGGACAGCCTGGGTTCAGAGGACTTCCCCTCATCTACATGTCCTTCCCCATAGGATGCGAGATGTGGAAACTGCTGTATCAGGTTCTGTGTTAGGCTCCTGTTTCTCCCAATGAAAGCATGCACAGCCTCAGGGTAGCTGAAAAACCTGATAGGAAGAAATAATTAGATAAAGACGCAGGAGTTCAAAAAGGAAGGCTGGGCTTTCATGGCAAGTGTACATTGAAAATGTTCAGCAGAAATTTTGGGAAATATTTGTAACTTAGGGAATTTATCTTCAAAATCTGGATGTGTTGCCTATTACTTGTGAATTACTTTGCCAAATACAGTCAGGTCTTGTGACCATTAAAAGAATTTAGACCGAAGGTCATTTCCAAGTTTCTAGTATTCAGTAAGTCAAAAGCACCTGTTCAGCAGTTCCATTGCATTTGACTTTACAAATGTTTATTGAGCATCTGGTACGCCCCAAAGCAGCGTATAGGCTGGAGACATAGTACTGGTCAAGCAGACAGACACTCCAGCCCTGGTGGAGCTCACGTGTTGGTGCGTGTGTGGAGGGGAGGAGGCTACAAATTTTCCAAACAGTTAAAACAAACTTTATCGTAGGGAAACCCAGTATCTCTTTAAATATAGACCTTCCACATATAAGCTCATCAGATAAAAACCCACTGAGGACTCAGTTTACTGGTACTCTAAATTCTCCTAATGTTCAAAGAAGCAGGCCAAACTGGAGAAATTCTGTAGCTCACAAATATTACTCTCAGACCATAAAACAACCTTTCTAAAATTGTTCTGGAATAATAGCTAACAGTTGTTAAGTGGGGATAGGTCTCTGTTCCAAGTAATTTGCATGTATGAATGCGTTAAAACCTCATAGCAGTCCTCTGAGGTAGGTCCTACTATTATTCCCATTTTTCAAATGAGGAAAGTGAGGCACAGAGAAGGTAAGTAACTTGCTCAAGGTCATGCTAGTGACTTGGAGCCAGGAGTCACACTCAGGCTTCAATATTGTAATTTAAAAGAAAAATATGTATTTGGTCATTCAGAGGACCAAAATGTATTTCTCATATACATTTGATCTTCACCCATAGTTCCTGGTTCACAGCTCCCTAGGTGTTGGGAATGGTAAGGTACCTCTGTTATAAGGGTGACTTTCAGAAAGCACCAATGGAGCAGCTATGTGACCAAAGGCTCAGAGCCTTCGATCCCACCCTCTGGTCTCCACGGAGAGGAGAGGGGCTGGCGGTTGACTCAGTCACCAAAAGCCAGTGGTTTAACCAATCATGCCTATGTAATGAAGCCTCCATACCGCCCACCTTTCTGGCTGGTGAACCCATGGAGACTGGGGCGAGTAGATGTCTAGGGAGAGTATGGGAGCTCTGAGCCGTTTGCCCTTACCTTACCCTACATGTCTCTTCCATCTGGCTGTTTCTGAGTTATATTCTTTTCTAATAAATTGGTAATCTGGCAAATAAAGTATTTGTCTGAGTTCTGAGCCACTTTAGCAAATTAATCTGAGGAGGTGGTAATAGGCGTTCTATAAATCTCTAGTTTAGCCATAGCTGGTTTGGCTCAGTGGATAGAGTGTCAGCCTGTGGGCGGAATGGTCCCAGGTTCATTCCAGTCAAGGGCACATGCCAGGTTTTGGGCTGGATCCTCAGTGGGAGGCGTGCAGGAGGCAGCCAATCAATGATTCTTTCTCATCATTGATGTCTCTCTCTCTCCCCCTCCCCCTTCCTTCCTCTCTGAAATCAATAGAAATTATATTTTTTAAAAACAAAACCAAAAACCTCTGATTTATAGCCGGTTGGTCAGAACCGTAGGAAACAACCTGGGCTTGGGTCTGCATCTGAAGTGGAGGGCCTTGGAATCTCATGCTATTTCCAAGGAGATAGTGTCAGAGTTCAGTTGAATGAACTTGAATTCTCAGCCAACCTGATGATGTGCCCGAAACACACACACACACACACACACACACACACACACACAAATTGGTCCCAGAATACCTATTTACAGACAGTCTTGTGCTTAACTATTATATCAATTTTGAGTAAACTGCTCTTGATTGCAAACAAAATATTTCCAAGAACATTCGGAAGTGGTGGTTCCCATCTTCAGTCACAACAAAGGGCTTGGTCTGGACATAGGTAGCAGAGAGCTTGATTGTACATCAGAAAGAAGAGACACACTGATCCTTCACTAGCCTGAAATCGCCTTGGATCGCATGACCCTATTAAAAAGAAAATTTCAGCAAAGACCCCATGTGGGAAGTTTAGGGCTTGTTTGGGAGGTTGACTTCAAGTTGAAGTAGCTTATGGTCACAGATTGAGAAATCATGGGGACTGGCCAGCAGATTCCTTAGGAAGGGACTCACAGGCCAGAGGCTTTCAAAGTGAAATGGTCAACCAGAGCCTGTTTGCAGGGCTGATCATTTGATTTGTCAGAGAACACGTCCTGTGCAGTCAGAGAGGGACCGTGTTAACCAAACTCAGATGTGCTATAAACCACAATGTCAAGACATCCATTTACAAATGGGGAGGTGTTTCTGAATGACAAAGATATGGTGCCTAATAATGTGGCACCTTCTCCTCAAAGCCATGGGAAGCTTTTTAATAATCAGTGGTTGTTAGTGATCACAGAGTCAAAACAAAAGAACATATTTTTTAGGTTACCCTAAGCCTCTACAACTATCTCCTTCCCACAATAGGGAACAACCCTCTACGGGCCTGAGTACCCCCACCCCAGGCTCAGGGATGGATAAACAAGTGAATGACATTAGTTAGACAACAGTTGTGTATGTCTCACTCTTACTGCTAAACAAGAGAGAAAGGGATTCTGGCGCAATTGAGTAAAGGATGCTACGGCATTCAAGGGAAAGCTGGAGACCCAGGCTAGAAATGGGGGCCTAGAGGACCAGGCAATAAGACCCACAGGAATGGACTGGCAGCACCACAAGTCTGGTTTGGACACCACTGCGGATTCTGTCTCTCATTCAGACGATAGGGGGGAGTATCTAATTTGCCATGCTAAGTTAAGTGCCTGACCTTGTGCTGGGGAAGACCCAGCTTAGTGTCTTCCTAGACTGGCATCCAATGGGAAGAAATCACTCATTAAAGGACGTTAAGGTGCTTTTAGGAAGTAGAACTCTGTGCTAGGCTGCTCCAAAGCAACAAATGTGCACATAGAATATTAAAGCTCATGAACCAGAGACCATCAAGAACATACCTAATGAACAACATAAACTGATGACCAAAAATAGATCCAGAGTCAGAGAGACATTGATCAGACCATTAAATCTCAGAAAGAAAGTAGGGGAGGGTGTGGGTAATGGGGAGAGATCAACCAAAGGACTTGTATGCATGCATATAAGCCTAACCAATGGACACCATCAACAGGGCAGGGGGGAATGAGAGGGGGTTAGAAGGAGTAATGGGGGAATAAGGACACATATGTAACACCATAATCAATAAAGAAATTTAAAAAATACCTATAATAAAAATAAGTTAGGTTTACTTAGCAACAGAGAATGCACGATGGAGGAACCATGGGACTGGCTATGATGACACATATTTTGCTTGATGATTCTAGGAGGATTTGAGAAAAGTCAGTTCTAGATTGGGTGTTGTCAAGAAGTGGGTGCACTTAATGATTCCATATCTCAGTGATTTTCCTCTAGGAGGTGGGAAGATTAAAGTGAGGGCAGGGACTCACTGGTAGGGAAGCAGTCATCACTCACACTCCACAGGAGCTGAGTATCCTTGTCACTGTCTCACTTCTCACATAGCAGGTATGGCCGTGTCTCTTTATATTCTGGAAATGTCGTTTATGTTCACCAGGAACCTCCTAGTCCAGCTCCGTATCATAACTGATGGGATTTCCAGGCCCTGGCTTCCCTTCCCGTGACTTAGGGAGACATCCAGCCTTTCGAGGTGAAATGTGCCCTGGCTAATCATGTCCACAGGGACTGACGTCACTGCACTCAGCACCGGGGTACCCGAGAGTGTCCTACAGATGGTGACCATGCGGGGCTGGGCACAATGCTATTAATAATTCTGAGGATTTCTTTAAGTTTTATCCACTATTCCTTCTGCCAAGTGCATACAGTTTCTGATTGACGGGATTTCTCCTTTACCCCATATAAGAACTGGGATACCAGGAGCTTTTAATGGTTTCTAAGACTGAATTATTAAAATAAAATAACTGGACCACAAATTAGTGGTAGAACTGCCTTCTCCACCTTTATGGCAAATCCCCATTTGTGTAACTTGTTCCTCTCACTGGTAATGGCTCAAGTCTTCCTGAAAACATTAGGAATTAGCTGAGGGTGGTAAGTTGGGGGATAAACACAGCGAGGGTCCTTGTAATGAGTAGTCTAGCTGACTGTGGATGTTACAAAGGAAACTTTCCCTCTCTTCTTGAATTGTTATATTGCTGCTTCTGCTTCCTGTGCAGTCAATATTGTCACTGTTCTTTACAGATCTCATGCAAATATCACTGGGCAGGCTGCTGAGGGACTTGGCACCCCCTGGTCTTCGCAGGAGGCCCACATCATCTTATGTGCTGGGATTGTTGGGGTGCATGCTGCGGGCTTCTGTTTCCTGGTATCTCTCTTCTGACCGGTAATTTTCTTCAACTTTCTAGGCTCTTGGTGAATTTGTTCTGGTAGAAAAAGAGGTCAAAATCAAAAAGAAAGGAAATATTTACAGCCTCAATGAGGGATACGCCAAGTATTTTGATGCTGCCACCACAGAATACGTGCAAAAAAAGAAATTCCCCGAGGTGAGTGAAGAAAGCCTAAAGCAGAACGCCATCTCAGTGGGCTCCTGTATCAATGGCGGGGGGGGGGAGGGGGGGGGAGGAGAGGGGGGAGAGGGGGGAGAGGGAGGAAAACATTGAAACATTGATGTGAGAGAGATGCATCAATTGGTTGCTTCCCAATAAATTCAATTAAAAAATAAAAATACCTCCCCCTCCCGAAAGGACATAGAGAATATTCCGCACTTTAACCCCTTTTGAGATATGAGAAGGAAAGGGTTGTAATGAAATCTGCACTAACACACAATGGCCGCAGGAGGCTATGGAACACCTGAGCGGTGCCGAGCCTGATAGGAGATGTGCTGGGAGACACACCGGGCTTGGAAGGTGAATACAGACTGGGTTCTGTTCTCTGTGGGTCACACGTTGACGTGATAACATTTCGATGCACTATTTTAAGTGAGAAATGGTTTCTAAAGCTGCTTAAAAGTTTGCCAGTGGGAGACTTTTGGGTTAAGTGCAAATGTTGTCATTGTCAAGGGGCCTGGCTCTCGGAAGTGAAGAGGGCTCTGAGGCATGGCGCCAGGGAGTCACGGGGAAGGAAAACCTTTCTCTCCTTCCCTTCTAAGGTCTCCGGCTGGTCTGCCGACTAAATTGACATAAGACAGACTAACAGGAGAAAACTAATTTCATTTTGCACTTATGGGAGCTCCGTGGAAATGTGAAATGACAAAAGCTCCTTTTAGACAAGGAAACAACAAATGTGTGAAGAGTTGAGAGGACAGAGAAGGGGTTGTAGGGTCGTAAATTAGTGACGATGTAACCAGCCTTGTCAGCCCTAAACACTCTGTTGAGTCCTCCCTGCTTCTGCGGTAAGGCTGGCTCTCCCTCCTGGAACAGGGAGGGTACCTTTCGCAAGAGAGTTATTTCCTGCTTTCGGGGGCAGAGGTGGGTCAGGGCTATGCCTCAGTGGACTTTAATTGAAAAGGATCAGTATTCTACGGCGGCGTATCTGCTTTTCTGCAGTATATACTTCCTTTTTTAAAATAGTTGTCCTCGTAAGGTTGTTTCAGGGTATAGTGTCTTAATTTAAGTAGTCCTCAATGAGTTCAATCACTGGTCCATCTATGGGGAACCCTAATGAATGAAATGCTTAATTATATAATGTTTTCAATTCCTCTGCTCCTGGGTGCAGGATGAGAACCTGGAACGCAGAGGCCACACCAGCTGGACGTGTGCCCGGGAGTGGGTGTAGCCAATTGCAGAACTCACGGCATCTTGTCTCTTCCCTCTCTGCTTTCCAGGACAGCGGGCCTCCCTATGGGGCCAGGTACGTGGGCTCCATGGTTGCCGATGTGCACCGCACCCTGGTCTATGGAGGGATCTTCCTGTACCCGGCGAACCGGAAGAACCCCAAGGGCAAGGTAATTCTCCCTCGTCCACTCCTTTTCTCTTCACACCTGCTTTTCGGCTGCTGCTGCTGCCCTGGGCCTGCCGCCTGTGAGTGAGCAGCAGGGAACCAGTGAGGTGTGTGAGTGAACGAGGCTGTTGTGGTCTGGAGGAGAAGGCTGAAGTGCGAGTGGTGACTTTTCTGGCCTTCCCTTCCTCTGCCTTCCGCCCTTCACTCACCACCAGTCAGTGTGTTTATCTCCCACTCCCCACAGGTTCTGTCTGACTTTCAGCTGCACCATCAACTCATTTTGGATCATAGACACCTTTGAAAATCTAATAAACTTATGGCCCTGCTTCCTAAAAAGAAATGCATTTAACACGCACTTTACAAATGTGTTCAGGGGACTCACAAAGGGCATGTACTTTGGTTGTGGGCACATCCCTGGCGGGGGGTGTGCAGGAGGCAGCTGATCGATGTTTCTCTCTCATTGATGTTTCTAACTCTCTATCCCTCTCCCTTTCTCTCTGTGAAAAATCAATTATATATATATATATATATATATATATATATATATATATATATAATTTTTTTTTAAAGAAGTGTTACGGAGAATTAAAGGAGATCAAGCAAAAGATGAGGAAACTCTTAGATACAACCATTCTTGCCACCTTCTCAGTTTCAATGGGGAGAACATTAAGACTAATTATTACTAATTATTAAAATCATTTCAAATTAATCAAAAATGCACATATATAATTATATAAACATTGCCATAATTGCCTACATAGACTGATGTGCACAGCACCATAGCCACCACCCATAGTCAGAGTACCATTGGCTCCGACCTCCATGTTTTGGCCCTCAGGGTCTCTGTGACCCCATCTGTGTGTGTGGGGGGGGGGGGGAGAGGATAACTCTCCTCTGTTTGCTTGCCTTTGTAGAGCCGTGTAGATGTTAACTGCAGGGGAAAAAAATAGATTGTAAGGGCCACAGGCCAAGGCAGAGGAAGCCCTGGCATGTGCTTCAGAGCAGTTAGTAACAGCCCTGAAATTTTACGGTCAGAGCAAACCTTGGCTCCAGGACCAACTATGTGAAGGCTGTGCTTGGTTTGTTCGATTTTGAAGTGTCTGAGTCAACAAGGTACAAACAAAAGTCAGTTGGTTACAACCTGGGACGTTCATGTCTGACACCCAGAAGCCCTGCCCTCACCCCCTGTGCCAGGGAGAGGCGCGGAAAGAGCCAAGCTCTACACGTGGCCGGCCAGAGTCTCCCTGGTGCCCTGTCCTCCTGTGGAAGATCAAGGACAAAACTAGCAACTCCAGGTGTCCACATGCGCTGGGGCTCCCCTGTGCCCCGCCAGGCTGCCCACGGTTCTAAGGGCAGAAGGTCTAGGGGAGGGCATCGTACTCTGTTTTACCAAAATGGCAAGTAAATGCTCCAGAGTCTTAACATACTCTCTCCTGAGTGCCTGGCTGTCCAACCCAAACCAGACACACTTTATTCCTCTCCATGCAACAACAAAACAACAACAACAAAAAATCAGCACCAGATGTGGCTGTTTCTCCAAATTGTTTTTAATATGTCTTCAAAATGGATGTGAAGGAAAGCAAGAAAAAGGCTGCATTATGCTGGGTTAGCCACTTCCTAAGCTGATTATAGAAAAGGGACTTAAAAAGTTATAGATTTTGCATCTATGAGAGAAGGAAGGAGAAGATAGAGTGGTACCAAGTCAGAAAAATTAGCTAGAATGTCACCTTGTATCTAATGGTGTGTGTGTGTGTGTGTGTGTGTGTGTGTGTGTGTGTGTGTGTGTGTGGTGGGTGATACTCTGGGGAGGGAGTCACAACATAATTATATAAATAAGCCTAAAAAGAACATTCATTCCAGCCCATTTCAGTCCAACTCATCATGAATTATTGACACGGGAGGTCACCTGCTAATTTCCATCATGCCATTTACAAAAGGTATTCCTTGTTCAGAACAAGCTCGGCCCTGGGTCCATGGGTGCAGCTTGGCAAGCAGGGCATGGGCCACTTTTGCCCACACCCCCATTTTTGCCATCTGCTGGGAGCCCTGGGGCAAGGTCTGTGGTAGCCTTGTTTGGACACTTTCTTTGTGTCAGACAGCATAGGGACTGGAGAGGCCACAGTGACCCAGAGAGATGCTGCACCTGCTCTCAGGGCGGTGGCACAGGAGAGGCAGGCCACAAGCAAACCTCACTGCTAGATCTTGAGGGGGACATGCAGGATGCTGTGTACTATAAGCAAAGGGGGTTCATTTATTTTAAGGCAATTTAAGTACCAGCACACTGTTCAGCTGAGTAGACACTTGAGAAGTGGAGTTCTTTGCCACCCCCCGGGATACTATGGTTAGCCTGGGAGAGCACCCAGCACTCTGAAAGGAACTTCCAACCCCATCCAAGCCTCCTTTCTCACAGACAGAACCTCTTACCAGGCTCAGTTCCCCTCCCTAGGAAACTGGCAAGAAAGGGGCACCAAGGTCTCCTCTGCCGAGTGAAGAGGCAGGTAGCTGCTGAGCAGAGGTGCCTGCGAAAGCCCATGCCCTGCTTAGCAGCCGATGTACCCAGCTGCCTTCCCAAGGTGCTAGATCTCTGAGGAGGGGCTTGAGCCCCCTGCACTGACCAGGCAGAAGTCCAGCGTAGGAATTCTGTGTCCAGCTTCAGGGGCAGGGCTTGAGATTTTGGGCAACTTGCAACTTGCCTGACCCTTTCTCTGCAGCTCCGGCTCCTGTACGAGTGCAATCCTGTGGCCTTCATCATTGAGCAGGCAGGGGGCTTGGCGACCACGGGCACCCAGCCGGTTTTGGACGTGAAGCCCGAGACCATTCACCAACGAGTCCCCCTTATTCTGGGGTCCCCGGATGATGTGCAGGAATATCTCACCTGTGTTCAGAGAAACCAGGTAGGCAAGTAGTGCATTTAAGCCTGCAAGCCCTCTTCTTTCAGTCTTCTCCTCTGTATTAAGAACCCGAGGTGACTGACAGGCAGAGACAGGGCTGATGAGTCCCAACAGGCCAGTCCACCCAACCACAAACAGAAGAGCAGCATCAAACTGCTCAGGACAGGTCTAGAGGCCAGAGGAGACTGTCCTCAGTGAACATGGCTAAGAATAAAGATCCACATGTGAAAAGAACAGCTTGGATTTGTCCTTTGTCATATATGGTGGCAAAAAAAAAAAAAAAGGTTGTAATTCTAAGTCTGTCAGCTCAGGTAATCAGAAGCTATCTACTTGGGGCAAAAAGTACAGTGATCAGCCGAAACCGGCTTGGCTCAGTGGATAGAGCATCAGCCTGCAGACTGAAAGGTCCCAGGTTTGATTCCGGTCAAGGACATGTACCTTGGTTGCGGGCACAACCCCAGTAGGGGGTGTGCAAGAGGCAGCTGATTGATGATTCTCTCTCATTGATGTTTCTAACTCTCTATCCCTCTCTCTTCCTCTCTGTAAAAAAAAAAAATCAATAAAATATACTTTTAAAAAAGTACAGTGATCAGTTAAGATTTACCTTGGTTGGCTTAAAATTTGAACCTAGTGTCTTATCCTGTAGTGATTCGTTTTATTTCTCATAAAATAAAAATATATATTGAATATATACATTATATATATATATATTTAAATGTGTGTCCTATATAATAAAAGGCTAATATGCAAATAGACCAAATGGCAAAACAACTGGACATAACCATTTCAGTGTCCTGACCTGGTGGCTCAGGTGATTGGAGGTTCATCCCAGACACCAAAACGTTTTGGGTTTGATCCCCGGTCAGGGTGCACACCTAGGCTGAGGGTTTGATTCCTGATCATGGTGTGTACAAGAGGCAACTGATGAATGTTTCTCTCTTTCCCTCTACCTTCCTCTCTCCCTAAAAACAAATTAATAAATAAATAAATATATTAATTTAAAAAATTAACCATCTCAGTCTGAAATACAAACAAGGGCCTATAACTAAGCTATAAATGGTAGGTGGAAAAGGCATTTTTGCAAATAGATATGCCAGAATGCCATTTTTGTAAAAAATTTAAAAAGCACACAACAAAACTGCATGTGTTTTCGGGTAAAGACCAAAAAAGAGGACTCTTTCTATCGGTGAATTAATAATTGTGACAATTCCCTGAGGAAGAGGGATGTGTATGGAGGATAGAGTACCAAAAGGGGACTTAGCTTTACTCCACTGCTTGACTCTTAAAAACCTGACAATGTGCTCGCACATAACTCAGGCAGGTCATTTCCTCCTGGCAGCAGATTTTCTTGTGTGCCTGCTGTTTGCTAGGTCCTATTCTTAGTGCTGAGAATAGAGAGGTGAACAAAACTTCTTGACCTCTATATAGACTCAGTGCTAATGTGAGCAGAGACCCAATAAACAAAAGCAATCAATAAAATGAAAGTGTGTGTCCAGTGGTATGGATATTGTGGGGAAAGTAAGTCAGGGAAGAGAAGAGCAATGCTAGGGAAGGTTATTCTAATTTTTGTTCTGGGCAGTGACAGGCTTCATGGAGAGGGTGACAGTTCAGCCACTTTCAGATGTAAGGGAGGAGCCTGGTACACACGCGGGGGGTGGGGGGGAGAGAAAGGGGGAAGGAGAAGCCTACAGGGAAGGGCACAGAAAACACACACAAAGACAATTAGAGTAAAAGAATATTTCAAAACATTACAGAATACTGTATTCGAGGTTTTAGGCATTCTTCTTCCCTGCTGGTATCTCACCGCCTCTTTGAATGGCCTGAACCACGTCTGATAGCTGGGAAGATGCATGGGAAGAAGATAAATGAAGGTTCCCAGCAGGGAAATGGTTGACTCCACTGGAGGCTGTGTTTTCTGGAACACAGAAAACATAGCCTCCAGTTGGGAAATGCAGCTCATTCCCAGGAACCTATCTTCTTCTTGGAAGGAAGACTGACACCCAGGACAGCATGGCAATCATGTGACAAAGGCTCCCAAGATTTGGGGGAGAATGATGGTGGTAAGCTAGGAAGTGCCAACCAGAGTCCTACCTCCATGCTGTTGAGCTCCCAAAACCTCAGAGTTGACCCAGAAGCCGTGGTCTCAGAAGAAATCTTCCTGTCAAAGTCAGGACTTCAGTGTCAAAAAGACCAGCTATAGGTCCCATGCTGAGGTAGGCCACCTTAGGTCACCACTACTTTTTGAACATATCTAATATTAAGTCCTATTTCCATAATTGCTCATGTATCTTTCATATATTTCTCATGATCTTTTCTCTCTCACCAAGAAAAGCAAAAACAAACAAACAAACAAAACATTTGATGTCATCCAGTGAAAGCTGGACCAGATGTAGTGGGGTTGAACCCTGGGTTCAAAATAAGACCCCCGGAGGCTGATGATTGATTAAAAAAGCAGGCAAGGATTTATTGAAAAACAGGCCAGGACGGCCACAAGAGTACCACACACAGGTGGACTCCACATGACTGCCCCATTCCAAGTGTAGGCAGTACTTTTAAAGGCTTGAACCACAAGAATTTTCCTTTGTTCTACATTCTAAAGGCTGGGAATAGCTTGCAGGGTCAGTTCACAGTCACATCCTGCTGGACATTGGAATACAGAAGCAGAGCTCAGCAACTAGTCTCTAAAGGTTATCTACAGTTTCTACCCCTGAAGCTACTGAGTCAGTGGGATTCAATCTCCTGTAGTTCCTGGTCCCAGGGAAGGGAAAATTGCTGAGGTAACTATCCTGTGTATAATCAGGTGCAGGAGCCAGACTAGAAAGGGTTAAAATTCAAACAGCAGTTTTTACCAAAGTATGGTTGCTACCATATTTCACCAGAGTGTAAAGAGGCAACGTGTGTCTTACGCGCATTTTGATGAGTGAGAATGCTGTTCGATAAGGTATCATGGTTTCCGGCATGGAACCCAGCCAATGCTGGATTTAGACGAGAGGATATGTGAGGAAGCAAAAGATTTCCAAACCTTCTTGTGCCTTTTTTCCTGTGTGGCAGGTCCTTAAATTCCCTGCTACCCGTGATACCCATGCTACATCATGATGGATTTCTTAAATGTCTCCTGTCTTACTTGATTCCCCTGTGGACGGGTAAGATTGTTTGAGCTCAGCGGAAGCCTAAGCCACTAGATAAACACCTGTGAAAAGAAAACTCGGTCTTGATGCGAACCATGTAGAGTGAACAGATCTTTTCCTTGTCCTGCCTGGATGGTCAGCACGTCTAACTTGTCCTGCTCAGCGGAGGCCAGCTGTGCCCTGGGCTGCTGAGGAGAACACGAGTCCAGCTGTGCCCAGGAGCATCAGTGCCCAGCTGACATTCTGCTGATCATACACTTGCAGGCTTGGTGCTCACCCTCTTGAGGCTAGAATTCCAACAGAGAGTGTCTGCGGGGCAATACTCCCCCTGAGGTTGCAGAAGCTGAAAGTTCTGTTGCCTCTTCCAGCTTCTGATAGTAACTTTATGTTTCAGACAAGACTTTTGTGTAATTGAAATTTGTTTTCTGCTTTATTTAATCTTTGTTTATTGACCTATTTTAAAAATATGATAGCTTTGGCTTGGAACGCTCCACAAGTTAAGATTTGCAAGTTTCAGAAACTTCTGATACCTATTTAACCATTTAGACATCATTCAGTTTGAAACGTTCCCTAAGTTTAAATATGTATGTCTTTAAAAATGGCAACACCTTATAAAATGTGTTTAATCATTTGGACATCTGAGAGGCCCCAGTCTTTCATTCCTTTCAGCACCTGGGCCATTTCTCAGAATCTTGGTCTGAACTTCCAGAATTCCAGGGACAGCAGCCTGAGCTGGCCTGTTATGGTGAAGCAAGATGACATTCCCAAAGACATTCTTTCCAGTGGATTTCCCAAGATGAAATGTGCAGGTTTGCATTTTCCAAAGATGGCCACCGCCATAGCTTCCATGTCACAGGCTCTTCTGCTAGTGACCTCGCCCCAGCCCCGTCCCTGGAACCCGGGCTCTCTCTGTGACATCCTCTAATACAGCAGCAGAGACCCCACTGGGGATTAGACAAGGTCCTAAGTAGCCTGGCTGGTCCTTCCTGGACGTCCCGGCACCTGCCTCCAGGGACAGCCCTCTCAGAGGCAGTCTCTGTGCTGTGGGCACCCACGCCATGCAGTGATCTCTGGTCAGCAGCATCTGGGACAGTCACATGAGTCCGCTTGGCTGTGAGTCCCCCCAGACCTACAGACAACTTAGGCACAATGCAGGAGAGACTTCCAGCGGTACCCCCCAGCTAAGCCAGATGGGAGATGGGAAAGATGGTTACTGTGAAGCTGTGATGTTTAGGGTAGATTTTTACAGAAACAGATAACCAGAACAGTCTTTTCACCGCACTCCCAGGGGCCCCCGTGTCTGTAAAACCCACGTGTGGACCCGGCCTCATCTCCCACACCTCAGCTCACTCTCTCCCCACTTTCCCTAAATGTGGCTTCTCTTTTCTCAGAGATGCTGACCACAAGTCTCTGCTCAGACACCACCTTTATCCTGTCTCATTGCCTGGCTCCCCTGGGTTCCTGTCAGATTCCTCCTCCTCCTCCTGATGTTCCCAGGCCTTCCTCTCCCTAACGCACCAGCTCCCGCTTGTGACTGCCATGGGTGATGACTGGGCACATCGATTCCATATGTTTCAACATAGGGACCAAGCAGCAAAAGGAGTTCAGCTTGGAAGCTTCCCCAATCTTCCTGTGAACACACTTGTTAGTCTGACCACAGGGTTTCACTCTAAACACATTTCTCATTTTAGGTCACAGAGTCGTAAACTTAAAGACCTGCTAGGGAAGGCCACATGAGGGTCCTGCAGGCCACATGGTGCAGCACAGATGGACTTGAACAGAGGCTGCTAGAGGCCTTGGGGCGGAGTCCCCAGCTGTCCTACATTCCATGTCTTCATATGCAATTGCGGGGTCTATTAACTAAATACTTCCACCTGCTCTTTATAGTTCCTTCAGTGGAAATAGACAAAAAATGGAACTGTGTGCTTCTTTAGCCTGCAGAATGTAGAATTGGGTTGCTGTTTTTGTTTTGAAATAAATTCAGAGATAAGGTAGCTAGGTGAATTGGGCCTATCACTTTTGACCCTCTCATCTATCGCCCACCTCCGAGGCCACAGCACTAATTCTGAAGCCCAGCCTCAAATCCAGGAGCTCAGCCCTCACCCCTAGCGGCCCGCAAAGACAAACATTCTTGGCAAACCTTTAGGTCATGTCCTTTCTCAACTGCAAATTAGTCTTACGTCCCGGCACCTGCACGGGACGTCCAAAAATGGTCTTACGAACAGTTGGAGACTATGCTTCAGAAACTGGCCTGTGACATTTGTCCTGTCACTCATCTGGACTGTAACCATCTTGTGCAATAGCCAGGACCTCTCAAGCTCCTTTCTACTCTGGAAATCCTATGTATGTGTAATCTCTTATTTAATATGTGAATTTTATTTATTAAAATAATGCACTTTTGTCCTTTATGGATCCTTTGTTAAATTTTGCTCCATTTAAGCATTGAGTCAGACACAGCCAATGGACAACAAACACCAGATCTGTCTGGTTATAAGTAGAACGGCCACTAGCACATTCAGTTATGCCTCCAGAGCCCAATCACATGTTTCACTATACAAAATGTTCATGACTTAAAGACAAATAGAAGCTCCACCTCTATTTCAAAATTAAGTTTTATTTTCAAAGATAAAAAGGTGTACATTCTTTTAAAACATAAAAATGCAAAAGTTATTAGGCAAGTCAATCATACAAACTGTTAACACAATAATTAAAGAAGTGAAACATTTTGCCAGTGTAAAATGTTGCAGAATTCAAATCACAGCTTGGATATTCAATGACTCAACTGTTTTATCCCACAGGTCTGAGCAGGGTTTTGGTTTTTTGTTTGTTTATTTTGTTGTTGTTGATAATTCTCACCTGAGGATTTTTTTTCATTTATTTACTTATTTATTTATTTATTTATTTATTTATTTATTTTTAGAGAGAGAGAATGGACAAGAGAGAGGTAGAGAGAGAGTAGAGGAAGAAAGAAACATCGATGTGAGAGAGACATGTTGATTGGTTGCCTCCCACACAGGCCCTCACGGGATTTGGATCAAACCTACAATCCAAGTATATGCCCTTGACTGGAAACTGAACCTGAGACCCTCGGTTGCTTGGGCTGACCCTCTAACCACTGACCCACATCAGCCAGGGTTCTGACGAGTTTGGAGATCATATTCATCTTCTGGTTATTCTGTTCTTCATCACATCTCAATCACCACCATCTCACACAGTAGGGTAGCTGGCCATGGAGGCGATCCCACAGTGGTTATCCTGGTCCTTGGCCATCTTTATGTAGCCATCCGTGCCCCACTTTGTGCCCCAGCTGAAAGAAGAGAGGGTTTCCGTTTCACACAAGTAACCAGACACATTTATGTTTATCAACAATAACATCAGATGCATAAACAGTGCACCTGAGGCCCAGACAGATTCAGAAAGAAGCAGGAGAGACCGCTGCTCTTGCTCATGGCTGGGTTCCGAACCTGTACATGTTTCTATCCCTAAATCTTTCACAGAACTGAAAAATTAGAGACTGAAAAAGAGAACTCTTGGGGCCAGGTGTGTTTCAGAATTAAGAACATTTTCAAATTTAGAAATGCATTGGTACCAAAACGGTATCCACGCCCTAGCAAGCTTAGGACAGTATCTTAATGTTACAATCCAACATTCATGTCTCGGTTCACCCTAAGTGGGATAAGGACTTGTGGGGTTTCAGAATTGTGCTCCAAGTTTTGAGGACATGTGTCCAAATACTGATTTCGAAAAGGATTCCCTTTCCACAATAAAATATAAGTATTTCTGACATTTTATACCTGTTCTTGACAATCCAATATTTATTGTTATCCGATTCTCCTCCTTCAAAGCCATAGCCAACCACCAGAACACCATGATCCAGTTCCTCGCTGCTGCAGTCCGGATCATAATAAATGCCTAAGAGATAGAAGTCATTGCTAGGGTGCAGATCTCCAGGTAGGAACTGAAAGTAAGTTTGCCTACCAACCACAGTAAGAGAGGCGTCTCAAAATTCAGTTAGATTACACAAATCCAGGTAAGATTTAAAAGCAAGATTTTAAAAACCGAGGCTGGGAGTTAGGCCCTCCTGTAATACTATCATTTTTAGAAATATCTTGTCAAGAGACATAAAAGACCACTGGTTGAAAATATTCTACTTTTAGGATATCAACCTACGAAAACAAACAAAACACAAAATTACCTGAGCCTAGGCTTTTTCCAGTTTTCATTTCAGTAGTAAAATTCTCGGAATATTTTAAAGGTCTAACAATTTTTTAAAAGTAAAGTAAACGGCCGAAACCGGTTTGGCTCAGTGGTAGAGCGTCGGTCTGCGGACTTAAAGGTCCCAGGTTCGATTCCGGTCAAGGGCATGTACCTTGGTTGCGGGCACATCCCCGGATAGGGGGTGTGTAAGAGGCAGCTGGTCAATGTTTCTCTCTCATTGACGTTTCTAACTCTCTCTCCCTCTCCCTTCCTCTCTGTAAAAAATCAATAAAATATTTTTTTTTAAAGTAAAGTAAATGAAGCTATATCAGCCAAATTATGAAGGTATTTGATCTATTTATGAGGCACTTAAGATCATGGGCATATGGTTTAAGTCATGTCAGATGGACAATATCTGGCACAAATATTACATGTGTAGAATGCACATCTATGTTAAACCCACACATCCAGGAATTCCACATGCCAAAGAGTTGGTCTTGCTGTATGTCAGGATGATTTTATAATATTTCTGCCTTAATTTATGTAAAGACAAATCCTCACCTTTTTCATAGAACTGGAAGGATGCAAGGCTTGCATCGATAGCAACGGAAATGGGCCCCACACTGGCCACTGCTTTCATAAGGGACCTCTCGTTCTTACGGATGTCCATGAAGCCAGTGTCATTGGCAGCAGAAAACTCAGGCTTGTATTTGCAAGTGTCATCCTTTTAAAGGCCAAACGGAAGAGACGTGATTATGTCATACCTCCCGGGGAACATGAGTTCAAGACAAGTTGCAGTTTAATGATTTCTAGGTCAAGTTTGTTATAAAGCATCCCAGGAGGTGAAGGGCTATTGGTTGCTTTGACATTGAGAAACTAGCTGGTATATGTATATTCAATGAGATAGTCTCGGTCTCCCTGGCCATGAGAAACTTCTCCTATATATAGAATGATATGTAAATCTCATGTAACACAGAAGCAGGAACAGCTATACATTGACCATCTAAACAAAGAACCTGGCAGCTTGGACAGTTTACAGATACAGATTCTCCAGGCTTAAATGTGAGTTCTAAATATGGTAAGTGTTTTCTCTGAAGTGCTCAACACTCAAAAGCAGAGCTAGAATGATAAGGCACGTGTGTTACCGTTCCACAATATGGGTAGGATTCCTCTGTGTCCAGGCCTTGGTTGTCCTTGACGTACTGGAAGGCATTATCCATGAGGCCACCATCGCAGCCCTCGTTGCCCTGAGCCCGGGAGCAGTCCACCAGGTTCTGCTCACTCAGCGAGACAAGTTTGCCAGTTTTCCGGAACATCTGTCCTTCAAGGGATCCAGTTGCACTAAAAGCCCAACAAGAACCACACTGACCCTGAAAACAAAATTCAAAAGCGCTCATTCTATAAAACAAATAGCAATTCTTTGGCAGCAGACGACCTCTCTGGAAACTGTTTTTAAAAACAGCGGACTGCACATAGTTCCGCGGCCTCCCGCGTCACGGAGAGCAGTGCCTGCACGGCCATACTCGTGGGGAGCAGGTGATCTGCGGGCACGGCCATACCTGGTCCTTCACAGGCGTGACCCAGCCGTTCTCTCTCCAGTCCACAGATCGGGGCACCTCGGCTAAGGCAGGTTCTTGGAACATTTCCCCCTTCTTGTGCTTCTGGTTTTGAAAACCATTCCTCACCTGCCTGAACTCCTCACTGGTCTTCCAGGAAAAAGACACAGAATGTTATAAAGGAAGAGGTTATTCTGCTAAAAAGTACCGAGGAGAGGAAGCACACAAAGCGAAGCCTCCCAGGCCGCACTCACCATGTCGCCAAAGGCATTCATGGCCATGGTGAAGTTATGTCTCCCTTGGCCGTGTTCCCGGTTGTGCAGTTCGATCATTTTCATGTTCTTCTCCCACACCGCTCTCCTCCATCCTTCTTCATTCTAGAGGCAAGCACAGACCACGCCGTGTTCATTTCTACCGAAAACCCAACTCACCTTCACCACGTGGATTTGCAGACAGAACACAAACCACTGTCTGGGGCGGCTCTGCACCCCTGGGAGCTGTCCTCCAGCACCCTGGCGGCAGGGGTGCGTGGCCCGTGGTGTCAGTAATGGGGGCCTGTTAAGAGCCAGTCTCCAGAAGCTACTCTCCGCTATAAACTCCCAACAGCAAGAACCGTGTTCTGGGGGGTCCCTCTGGACCTTTTCAGATGTTAGCAACCTCATTATAGCGTTTCCCGTGTGTTGCCTTCCACTGGTTCCACTGTGCATCTGCTCTGAGATCAAGTTTTGGAGCAGCCGAGGCTATTCCCACGCAAAGAGCAGTCAGGAGTAGCGAAGGATTCATGTTTCAAAAACCTAGAAAGGAGGGGGGAAATGAGTGATCTGATTAGACCAATCTTTCCCCGGAATCCTTCCTCGGAGACCTGGAGTAAAACATTTAATTGACCCTCCCAAGGAAGCACACAGGACTGTGGCGGAAGGCTGAGGATGTGGGTGGAGAAAAACAACCCGGAGACCCCCTTCCCAAGCCTGGAGAGGGTGAGGCTCCCAGGGGCCAGGGAGCCAGCTGCAGCCCCGCCCTGCCAGAGGCCTGCTGCGCGTGCCCAGCTCTCCGCGCACAGCAGGCGCTGCCAGAGGATGCTGACGGTGCAGGGAGTGGCGGCCCCACAACCCAGCGGTCCGCTCGGTCAGACCTGGGGACCTCGATTCCGGGGACTCCCCCCCCCACCAAACCCTCGACCCCCAAGGATGGATGACGGCGGCCCTAGTTCTCGGGGTGGCCCTGCCGCTCCACGCCCCGGCTTGAAGGGGGTGGGAGTGCTGAGAGGAGGTGCTCACCTGCGGAGGGAGCAGCTGTGCCAACAGCGGTCAGCCCGAGCGGGTCCAGAGTCTGCGGAGCTAGGCCGGGCCTCCGGGCGCCCATTTAAGGTGCCGGGGATCCGCCCCGGCCCCGCCCCGCCCCCACCGCCAGCTCGCAGCGGGATTGGCGGAGCCGGCTGTGGGCGGGACCTCGGGCGCGGGGGCCTTGGCTCCGGACCCCGCTGCGTCCCCAGCTGGTCCCGGACGGAGCGTGGGCCTCAGTGGGCTGCGGGGAGGCGAGCTGGGGGCCTCCGGACAGCTGTGAGGAGGGTCCCGCGCCTCCCGGGGACCTGGATCAACAAATACCCCGAGTTTATGTGCGCAGAGGGTGGTTTACGAGAAAAAGATATGGGATGCCCCCGGCGGACTCCCGTGTAACCAGTGCCCTTTGGTCCCGGTCCTGGTTAAAACCTCGGGCGAAGGGAACAGACCATCCAGCCCGGCGGCTCCCGCTCATCCCGCACACACCGGGGGCTGCGGGAGCGGAGCCGCAGACGCATGGGCGCTCACTGTTCGCAGGGGGCGCAGCGGGCTTTGGGAAGAATCCGGAGCGGAGTGACAGTGCCCCGAACGCAGACACGGTGGTCGGTCACGGCCCATCTCCTGGCGGGGAGAGGGGACGCACGGGAGGGTCTCCAGGGAAGGCTGGCATTCCTAGTGCCCCTATCCTGTCTTCCCCAGGCAGGGATTGTCTCCACCACAGGCTTCTCTCAAAACCCACAGAAAGGAGTTGTTTACAGAAAAATGTGGTTTAATACAGGAGGAAATAGAAACTGCTTTTACCTCCCCACTCTCTGCGTTATGGGTTGTTATGTCTCCTTCAATAAGCTTTTCTTGAGGTTTAATTTAAGAAATTTACTCTAGTGACATTTCCTTCAATGATTTCTTAAAAAAATTATATATATATATATATATATATATATATATATATATATATATATAATTGATTTTGGGGAGAGAGGGACAGAGAGAAACATCAATGATGAGAAAGAATCATTGATTGCTGCCTCCTGCATGCCCCCTACTGGGGATGAGCTTGCAACCCTGGCATGTGCCCTGACCTGGAATAGAACCATGACCTCCTGGTTCATAAGTCAAAGCTCAACCACTGAGTCCCCCTGCCCTGCCAGACAATGATTTTTAATTTGCATTTAATATCAGGATTTAAATGACAGTTTGGGAAAATATATTTACATGTTAAATATTAATGTATATCATTAGGACTTTAAGGAACACAAACCAGAAATATGTTTGTTCATTTTATTACAAAAAATATTCATTGCTGAATATATTTTCTAGGAAAAAATATTATCAGTATCTCATTTCCCTTCCCACTTCACCATTTTCTATGCATATTTTGAAATCTTTTGATAAAAATTCCTATTTAGGACTAATTAATAAACCTTCCAGAAGCACTATCAGATGAATAGTATTTTTTGTGTGCTTTTTATTTTTACTCTGGACATACGTATATAACAAAAATGTGATGTGTTTTTGTTTTTTTTAAACAATTTTAAGTGTACAATTAGTGTCATTAACTCCATTCACATTGTTGTGCAACCATCACCACCATCCATGTTCAGAATGCTTTCATTGCTTAGAGAATATAGCCGAAGTGGACTTACTGTGTATGGCAATTCTATGCTTAATTTTTTTTCTGTTTTCCACAGTAGCTGGAACATTTTACATTTTCCAGAATTATACTCAAAGGGTTCTAACCTGAATATGATATGACTTGCAAACATTTTTTCAAATCCTGTGAATTGTATTTTATTAAGTTGACAGCATCCTTTGATACCCAAAAGTTTTTAATTTTAATGAAGTTTGATTTATATATATATATTTTGGTTATTATTGGACTAGCCTTTGGTTTTCATCTAAAGTTTTATAGTTTTAGCTGTTATATTTAGTCTTTGGTCCATTTTGTATTTATTTATTTATTTATTTATTTATTTATTTTGCTTGTCAAAATGATCTTAATTTGAGTTCTTTTCCTTTGTAGTTCTTAACTAGCCAGACATTCCAGTGCACCACTGTTGATATCATCTATGATGTCATGAGGGTGGCGGCCATCAACATTGCACCCCACAGACTGGGCAGTCCCCAGGATCTCTTTAATGGTTCCAGAGAGTTCTCTAGCTAAAGATCAGTGCAGCATCTGTTGGGCAATGGTCCATTTTGTTTTAATATTTGCATATGGTGTAAGGTAAAAGTTCAATGTCAATCTTTCGCATGTGGATATCCCATTCTCCCAACATCATTTGTCAGCTGGAACCCTGGAGTTTCTAACAGTCTAGTTCTTAGAACAGTGGGGCGGGTGGCCACGCGCCGCGCCTGTCACTGAGGGCTCCTTGAGACAGTTCAGGCAGTAAGCTCTGCCTCTGCCTTTGTCCCCTCAGTAAACTCAAAATGCAGGGGTTGGGAGGCTGATCCCACAGGGCAGGAAATCGCCGTTTGGTTTGGAAGCATTTGAGGGATCCAATGCAGGACTTCTGTCTACTGCTTCCTCTCCCCCACCTGACCTCAGGCCCTCAAGTCCACACCCCCCTCCTTGCACCAATGCCTTGGGTGTATAGTTGCAAAGGAAAGAAGCAAATCCTGTGCTCTGGGTTTAGAGATAAAAAAAATTTTTTTTTAAATTTAAGAATTGAAAAAATTCAGCTTTCTCCCCTAGTGGCTTAGGTCTGCTGTGTCTTGAGACCTTTTATAGCTGCTTGGATGATATGGGCGCTGAGGGTCAGGCTGCTGCAGGTCTGGAGGCACCACAGGTCAGCTGCTTTGGGCCACAGGTGGGTGTGTATGCTCTGGGCAATCCCCCCTCACGATCTCGCCCTTCCTACCTGCCTGCAGGTGCCTTCTGTTCTTCCTTGTTATAAGTCACCTCTTCAGCTAGAAATTCCAGGAGAATGTTTTCCAATTTAGTTGTATTTCCAGCCTGGCCCTGGGACGAAGTGCCCAATAGGTCTACCTGTTCAGCCACCATTTTCTCCTCTCCAAAACATACTTCTCCAATGTCCCTTTTCATGCTGTTGTGGTCTCACTAAGTTCCTTGAACATCTTTATAACTATTACTTTGAACTCTGTGTTGGATAAATTGCTTGACTCCGTTTCACTTAGATCTTTTTCTGGAGTGTTCTCCTGTTCTTTCATTTGGGGTCTGTATCTTCTTCTCCTCATTTCGGCTGCCTCTTTTTGTTTGTTTCTATGTAGTAGATAGATCTGTGACTCACAGTCTTTGTGGGGTGGCCTTATGTAGTAGGGGTCTGGTGGGACCCAGTGGCACAGTGTCCTTGATCACCTGAGCTGAGTACCATAGGAATGCCCCTGGAGTGGGACATGTGGGCCTGTCTGCTGTAACTAAATCCTGATTGCTGTTGGTGCATTTGTGCCTGGGATCCATTCTCAGACTACCTCCCTGTGAGGCCCAACCCTGACCATGGCATGTCAGCTGGTATGCTGGTGCTGACCATAGGAAGTGGAATTAGCCTCAACAGGGTTTGGTGCCCACCAGTATCTCCCTGTGAATATGCTGTTTTTTGAAGTTAATTGGATCTATTGTGATGTTGTCTGAGGCTGGTACTTCGTGTGTTGGTTTGGAGCCTGTTGGGAGGGACTCTGGAGCAGACCAATGGCAAATGCTATCTGTGCCTGACTTCAGCCACCTGTTTGGAGTGACAAGTTATCCACAGTGTGTGGCTGCCTCTGATGTGATTGGGTGTATGTGGAAAGGTCCAAGCAGCACACCAAGGATGGCTTTTTTCAGTCCCACGTCCAGACGTAGGTCACCAAAAGTCCCAAGGCACCTTGAAAATAGCTTCTCTCTGCTGGCTGTCTGTTGGGCTTAGTCATTGAAAGAGCCCCTGGCAGAGTCAGGAGGCTGGGGCTAGTGGATCTCTCCTGAGGCAGGTGCTTGTCAGGATTCTGGGAAGATGGTGGGTAAGTTACCTACCACAGTCATATGGCTCAGTCTGTCCTGGATTTTGGCCCAACCTCAGCAGGGTAGATCCACTAGGGGTCAGGTGGGTGGGGGTCTCCAAAGCCCCAAGGTTGGATCTGCTGGGGGGAGGGAGGTGGCGGGAATGCTTCTCTCCATCTCTCTTGAGGGCGACGAACTAGAAAGTGGGGGTGGGGGTGGGGGTGGGGGTGGGGGAATGGCCCCTGGCCCTTAGCCAGACAACTCGGTCACTGACATCCCCTGAGTCTGCCAGACCGCTACACCCTGGTCAAGGTTTTTATAAGGAGGGAGAGGGAAAACCAAACAAATAAATCAGGTGCGGGGTTGAAAAGTTCTCTATTTGCAAGCCAGCACAGTCCATTCCAATAAGGATATTGAAACTGCTCAAGTGATGGTCTGGTGTGCGTCATCCTGGGCTTCATCACCCTTGTTCTGTGTCATCCTGGTTCTATGTTGGAAGGTCAGCAAATTGCCCAGAACTGGGTAACTGAAGGTTAACATCTGTACCTTCTGAAGTTAGTTCCTAAGAT